CCCGCCGCGCCGGGCCGGGCCGGGCCGGGCCCCGCCCCCAGCCCCGCTCAGCCCTCGCAGCTGCTCTGTGCTTGGGAGAAGGAGGAGGCCGGGGAGCAGGGCCGGGGTGTGGAAGGAGATGCCGAGACGGTCTAATCCCGCTTGCTTTAAGGCCGGGCTTTCTGGACCGGAGCAGCTGGCAGCAGCGAGCTCCGCTTGTACGAGCCTGCGAGGGAGAGGCTCCCCCCTAATTTACAATTAATCCGACCCCACCTTCCCCAAGAGCAAATAAAAATTCCTGGAATTGTACAACTTACCACCATGAGGAGGTGACTGGTGGGGTCGCCCAGACCAAGATCAGGGGAAGAGACCACCAGATCCCAGAGAGAAAGTTCATGTTAGAAACGCTTCGGTCCACATCAGGTCAGTCGCGGGGGGCAGAAGAAATCCCATGGAGCGACAGTGACCGGCAGGAGCAAACGCACCTTGAGGGCTTCTTTCTTCCGCGGGTCAAGCGCCTCCGCATCCCCACGCCCGCCCGCAGGGTTTATTGATCCTCCCCCGGGGTCCGGGGGATGCCGATGGGTGCATCGCTCCGGATTCCTCTCGATTCGCCCCGCACCAAATCCTTCAGGACAAGGAGCTCAGCCCCGCTCCCATCCTTCATCTTTGCCCTGATCCAGCTCTTCCCTGCAGTCACAGCAAAACTGAGGGGCTGGTGTGGGCTGCTCACAGACTGGGTGGGTTCTGCTTTGGGTTGGCTTTTTTTTTTTTTTCCTCTGAAACTCTGATGGATGAAATGATGTCAAGAGACACTGGGGGAAGAGGAGGAGGTAACACCTCTGATTAGGCAAGGAATCCCGAGGAGCCAGTTGCTTTCCAATAACCCTACAAGCAGACAGTTCAAACGCGCCAGCAGATGCTACGCGACCTGCTGCGGAGCCTCCAGCGGCGGCCACCCCGGCTGCTAAAGACCAGCAGCACCTGGCACCTCTCGGGGCTTGACACGGCGCCGCTTTATTACCCCCATGCGCACCCGCGAACAGCGACCACAAAACGAAACCGCGACTTGGTGGCGAGAGGAGGAGCAGAAGGCAAGGGCAGCTCCGGCGTCGGGGCGCGACCCCGCCGTGCCGCCTCCCCTCGCCCCCGGGCACCGCGTACGCGCACCTCCTCTCACCGCGGGCGCCAGCGCCGGAGCAGCTCCGCGACGA